TTCATTAGTTTCTAATGTAAGAACCACTAACTAATCCCTGGCAGTTTTGGGGGGAAATAGGGCAGATTAAAAGAGGTGGGACTTGAATTAAGTTGATGTTGACAAGATATTGGCACCAAAACTACCTTTCATAGTTTTAGACTAATTCACTTTTGTGGTCAAACATTTATTCAGTGGCATTTCTGACTTAGAAAAAAATATTTTAAAAATATTTTCAGAAAATTATAACTAAGTCAGAAAAGTGAGTCTTATTTTCAAATCTTGGAATAATTTCTCTTGTCTTTAGAAGAATAATCCATTTGATATTTTAGTATTAAAACTTTTTAGATACACATTGTTTAAGCAAGTACTTCAAAACAGAAATGTTCAAAAAAGCCAAATATAAAAATTAATCACATAAATTTTGTCACACAAAAGAAAATGAGATATGAAAAAATATTTACTGTTATTTTTATTCTTATATTATGTTCTGCTCTGTCCATCTTTTTACCTACCTCTGAAAAGTACCTTGAGCTCTGCATTCTTCTCTTCCGTGTTTCCATACAAGTTACTACTTCTCTCTTCTCACATCTTACATCATACCTGTTCAACATCATGTAGCTTTCCTTTATTCCCCATTCTCAAAATTTTTTTCTTTTGTCTTCCTTCATTGTTTTCCTAACTCATCCTTCCTTTTCTCAGCCTGGATGTTTATTTCTTCCTCATCTGTCTCAACCACTTCATTGGGCCACCAAGAGCCTGGACATTCCCCAAAGACCTTTGTCCCATGCTAGGAGCTGTACCTAAGATACTGGTATTTTCCTGTATGTTGGTTTTAGCTGTTCTATGAAGCAGAAAGATTACTTCAGGTCTCCACTAATCAAATGGAAAATGGATGACATGAGCAAGATGTGAAAAGCTCATTGGTAGCCTCTGGAGAAGTATTGCATTCAAAGCTGACAAATTGCAGGGGATTTAAGGAGTACATGATAGGGCAAGCAAATGGCCTTGCTTTCAGCGAAGCTATTCATCAGAACATTTTCTTTCCTTTCAGGAAGGCAGGTTATTTAGGCAATAATTATATGTATTGTGTGTTTGTGCAATTGTACAGTGTTATTTGGTAGACAAGCAAAATGCTACACTGAAGTAGCCAGTTAATCAAGAGTTAACCTCAGTTCTGGCATTTCTGAAGCAAGTGTCTTCATTTACTCCCCTTTCCCCTGAAACAGTATGTTAACATTTTTCATTACAGGATCATGTGTGCTTTATTTCACAGCATTCCTGCTCCACACAGTATCCAGAGAACAGCCAATCAATATATTATTTTATCTTTGTTCATTATGTGTACCAATCCCTTGTTTACTGGATACTGTTCAAACTTTTTCCTGAAAACAGAATTTTGAGCAACCATCATGGGGATTTTCTCTAGTATTCAATATTATAGAAACCAAAGGTTTAATAAACAGTGATTTAATGTATTCTTGCAGAAGTGTTTTCTTCATACTTCATGGGAAAACCAAGGCATGAAAAAATTAAGCACCCACAAATTTTGCATGCTTGATTGAGACACACAAGATTTACAATTTAGAATATTTATCATTCATAAATTCCTAACATTTAAGACCAAGTCCAGAAGATATTTTTATGCAATTTAGTTGGTCTTCTGAATATCAAAGATCATTGATTTCACCAGTTGTCCCTGTATTGAGCCCAGAAATTTGTGGGTTTATTAAACCTGTTTTCCAGAAAAGTATCTATGTCTAATGTAAAAATTCCAAGGGGTGGAGAAACCACCATTTCCCTTTGATCATTTGTTCTAGTGATTCAAGTTGCCCTTGCTCAACTAGATATTAAAAATTCCTTCACATCCTGTATTTTCTGTCCATTTATCGAGGGACAATGAGAATCAGTAGCAACATAAAACTATTCCATTCCTGGTACTTGTTCAAAATTAGCACATGTCCTCAGGGGTTTTTATAGTCTGAACAGAATAAGCTCTTGCACTACATGCCTTGTTCTCTAGTGCCTGTGTTATCAGTATGTCTCTTTTCTGCATCTTCTCTGGCTTTTTAACATCCTTTTGTTTTCACATATGGAAACACATACATATGCATTTTTATGTCTTTGTTTCTCAGTGTCATATGTAAAGTAAAATCACCTTAGTTACTTCATGGAAATATTATTTTATTGTGTATACACCAAAAAAAGTTGCATTTTCCCAGTTTTTCCACTGCATTATAATGTCATCTTGTATTGAAGTCTCAGATCTTTATCACAGTCAGTGTTTTTAGAATATAGTTGCTCTTCCTTTAAGTGTAGCCTGTATTCACTGTTCTTAGACTGAGTTTTGCATTTGGCTTTATTAAAATATCCTTGATTTGAATACCCCACCAAGTGACCCAGAACATTGTTTTGTCATCATTATTTACTTACTTTGTTGTTCATGAACATTACTAGCTGGGTCTACCAGGTTCCAAATAATTGAAGGATACGTTGAGTAAGAGTATGCTAGTACTGATACCCGTTCAGCCTTGCTGGTATTCTAGTATTACTCAGTGACAATTGCCTCTTGGAACATGGAGAGATTTTTGGGTTTTTTTAACTTTCAGCCCATTCAGAACACACTTAAGTTTTTTCTTGATGGTACATAATAATTTTTTTTAATCAATGTTACATCTGACAAGTGAAAGCCTAAATAATCACTGTACAACGTCCCCTTCTAATCTCATCCAAGAAGGAAATCAGATTGTGTGCAAGACCCATTTTACTAAAAACATGTTGACTGGTAATAATTATAGTCTTTCATTAAAATCTGTATTAATTGAATCTAGTGTTTTCACTTATACGGCCCAGTTCTAGTACCACTAGTGGGAGTTTTTAAAATTTTTTTTAATCTTGACACATTATTATGTGCTCTTCCAGTTCTGGGAATGTCCTGGTATTTTAGCAACCCTGCAACACCTAAAGTGAAAATTGTCTGAATCTGTAAACGTAAAACTTATTCCTCCTTGATTTCTCATAAAATGAAAGTGTTTATTAATTCTACATAAGCTGTAACTATAGCATCCTGGTTTTTTCCAAATACAGACTTCTTATGTACTGAACACTCCCGTTTGAGGTTTTTTTGCATTGCAGTTTCTGGTATAGGTGCTCCAAACTTGGAGTGGACTTAAGCATTTACTGTTCCTCTCACAATGAGAAATCCTTACTATCTGTAGTCCTGTCAGTAATACATTTTTCATTGATTCTTTTGGCTACTCCTATCAATTGGCATAATTTCAGAACTTCTACTTTTAAGAATTTATTTTTGCTTTTTTTTTCTACTGTACTTCTGTGACATTTTGTCATAGGTTTATTTTATTTACTTTCTACATTAAAAAGGTCTACATCCACTTAGTTGTGAGGTCATTCTTTTTTATGGCCACCCTCAAAGGACTCCCCAGTTTTCTGTGATATTCTTCTATCCTTTTTTTCTCCCGATTTTGATGTGCTTTGAATACTTGTTAAAGTATTTCTATGCATATAAAGATTCTGGTTGTTTTTTCCCATGTGGAATTCAATTGGTTTATTATCCTCCAAGTATTTATCAATCTCCAGTATAGTAATTAACATCTCTTGTGTTATAATGAGATTGTTTACCCCATGCTCATAAATAATATATGGCTATTGACGATGTGTAGTATCACTTTATAATTATACAAAGGACTCACAGAATATGTGTCCTAGACTAGTCTCCTATAGCATCATTTTTTTCTTTTCCAAAGATTATAGATACATGCTGAAGAAAAACTTGTTCTGTGCCCTAGTTAGCTGACCAAGTAAGTCTTTCTTAAGTTATTTTAGTTAGCATATTGACCTCTACGTGTTCAAGAGCTGTGGTCTTGTTACTGATCACTCTAAAAGGAATAATGGCACGGGGGGGTGAGGGCTGCTGTTGAGGCATCCTGTTCTCATTCTGTCTCTCTTATCCTTCCTGTTAATCAGAGATTTTAACATACCAGTTGTTCACCACATTTTAGTAATGCTGGTTATATAAAATTTATTCCCATCAATGAATTTCCTCTTGCGGCTTACCCAGATTCCTAGGATCAATACATAAGCAACTGAAGAGATTCTTTTCATTATATTCTTTACCGCATTGGTTCAGCTTGCTTGTTAGGTGCTGAATTTCAGCATGTACCTCATTTGCCTTCCAAATAATCTCCCCTTGTGTTGCTGATTTAATATCCTGGCTGCTCCAGCTAGTTTCCAACTGAGAAGATTAGCCTCCTACTTGTGTGGTGTAGGCTGTCCTGTTCATACAGTCCCTTCTTTCACTGATGTGCTGTTTCACAGATTGAAATCAGCCTGTTTTTTCAGTCACAGATGACAGGCAGAAAATGCTGGAAATAAACTTTCTCACTTGTGATAACTGTGGATAGCCACTAATATTTTAATTTTCCTCTTAATTGTTTTCAGTGTGGTTGAAGCCTTGGGTAATTTCATCTAAGGTCTGCTGTGAAGGCATTATATAGCATTTATATTCTGTCTCCCATTGACTCCAGTTGCAGCTCTGAGTGCAGGGTGCTTTGGCAGATTAGACACAAGGGATTTATCTTGCGCAGTCAGAAAATGGGTAACATACTATCAATCCCTCTGAAAACTTTCAGTTAATTCATGCTGAGTGCTGTGGCCAAAGGACAGATACATTCCATGACAGCTGAGCAGCATTCAGCTACATTAAATATGAAGCATATTTGCTGTCTTACTGCAGTCCCATTCCAATGGCTGCAACAAAAAAAAACCAGGAATAGACAGCCAACAACTCTTTCACTGGGCAGGGATGATTCATGGCCAGGTATAGGTCCACTCCTATACTCCTATATTTTCCAGGTATCTGGAAAAACATGATAATCCAGTTAAAAGTAGCATCATAATGTGTATGCTCTGGTAACCTTACATCTGGCATTTCTTAATATTTCTGTACTTGTCTTCGTGACCTTATTAATGTCCTGCCAAGGAAGGGGTTCACTTACCCAGATTTAGCTGCCACTTGTCAGGGCTCCACTTGTAGTCAATACAAAGAGAAGGATGTGTCACCAAAAGGTAGTTTATCTTCTCTGAAGATAAATGCAGAAGATAGGTGAAATGTTCTTTGGAAGTTCCTGATTCACTTAAACTTGAGGTGGCTGAAGGTAGGGGAGATAAATGGTGTGATTTCACTGTGTGTGGTATTTGTGTGTATAATTATATACATAGGTCTGTGTTGAAAGGTGCACTTACGGATGTGTCTAGGTGTGTGTGACCTTATACATCCGTATATATACAGTATTAAGATCTAGCTGTACATAATACTGTGTGTCTCCTCTACTTACAATACTTGAAAATAAATCCTAAATCAAGCCTCAGATGTGTTAACACTGCATTTGAACTGAGCTACTGAATTTGGATCAGGGTCCCAGATCATCTCTGTAAAAGTATGTTCTACGTATGGCAGTGATAAGGAGTTGACTTGATTTGGTGTAGAACGGTTCCTTCCACTTCAAACGAGCCAAGAACTGCTCAAGCTGTGGGTATGGAATGGGCTTGTGTTAGAAGCTTGGTAAGGCATTGAGAGTGAGAGGTTATATGACTTCTGTTCTATATTCTTTATAATGAAAGAAGGTGAAGATGTGTTCCCTGGAAATCAAGGGATATGTTCCTTTTTTTCCTCAATCAGTTGCTAATGTTATCTACTTTTTTAGATACATGTTTAGGAGATTAGGCTAACTTGAGACAGATTCCCTGGCATTGTCTTTCCATTTCTAGTCAGTAAAAGTATTAAACCATTACTTACCTCCTTAACAAAATGTTCTTCATAAAATTAAATTCCTAAAATGCATGTCAGCATAGATTTTTCTAATCAATATTCTTGATTTAAGCTTTGTTCCTTTGAAGTGTCACTTACTTTCTTCCTGTGGCATAATAACTGTGAAATTATACTGAAGGAAAGATTATGAATGGCTAGTGTAAATTATTGTATTTTTTACAAACTTTTGGAAAGTTACTGTAATAATTTTGTTACTGTAATAATTTGGTTCAGTGGAATAATAATGAAATAGCAAGATACTTTTGTTATCAAATATACTTTGAATTTGTCAATCAGTATTTACTTACTGTGGGCTCTTTACTGTGGAGTTTATTGTAGATACCAGCAGTTAGCTTCAGTGTTTGTAGCAACAAGTATTTCAACCTAAATGCTCTAATTACGAAAATGGTGATGATATTTATAGCTTCTAGAAAGCAAACATAGTTCCTTACCATAGTTCTCCAAAGTATAATATAAGGAGGGTTACAAAAAATCCTTTAAAATAATATATCTATAAAATAAAGATTTTTGAAGACAGTAGGACAAGCAAAGAGGTTAGCTAGTAACTCTGTCATAGGAGTAGTTACCTAGAGTTGGAAAACCATTGTTGATTACAGACTCTGACCTAGCAGTTTATCTAAGAGTGAGATGAATTTTGTTTTGTATAAAAGGAAACTGGCATTCCATCTGCAGTCTAGTTGATGTTAAAAATGAGACATTTTGTGGAAGGCTATGTACCACCTAGATGCTGGATAAAGTTCTCAGAATTTTTCAGAATACCACAGTGCAGTAAAATAAAAAGGAATCTAAGTTTTATAATACATTGTATTTTAAATTTGTGTCACACTGTGAGGCCTCAGCAGACAGTCTGAGTATTAAATAATGCTTCTTTGACTGTAGAAGTATCATTTTCTTGAAGCCTGAAAAATTAATTAATCTTTGTAGGAAATAATAAGTTTATTAATTCTTGCCAGCAGTAACAACTTATTAGTGACTAGACCAGAAAGAAACCTCTTGCCCCTTCTGACCTTACTGTGACAACTTATGTTGACATCGGTGGAAACAGCTTTGAATTCTGAGTATTTAAGTCCAGTGAATTGCAAATATTCCTGTGACATAATTTTGACGGTCACAGCTCATTGTTAGTTGTTTACATTTTATAAATTATCACTAACTCTTTTCTAGAGATTTTATTTGATATTTTAAAAAAACCAAACATGTCCTGTTGATGGCATCTTCATTCAGCAACTGCTATGTCCTTAAGAGCTGGTATGAATTAGCACTTTCTTTTCCCTCAAGAGGTGCAGCACAACTGGATTTCTATCTTTGAGAAATGGTGGGACTTCAGTGTATCTTCACAGATCACGAACTGAGACTGTCCACCAGCTTCACTGAAAAACAGTATCTTTTGGGTCTGAACTTGAAAATTCCTTAATTTTGTGAGTCCACTCTTTTGAACTATATGATTTTAGTAATGAGTTATTTATTTTGTTAGCTCTGATACTTCAGTTAAACTTAGGGTATATCTTATGTAGAAAACAAATTTTACCAGCTGCAGGATTCTGGGCCAAAGAGCAAAGCAATATTGGTATAAATGAAACAGTGATAGTTTGTAGGCTTCAATATAAAAATCCAGATTTGGTCACTATGGACTTCATTGTGGAATACAGAAAAAATTGGGATTTGAGGGAAAAAGCCTTGATTTCTTAATATTTAGCTTGTAGTCTCAACACTTTTTCCTGCTGCTTTGACCTCTAGCAGTAGTAGTGGTGGATATTAAGATAGCAGTCCATTTTCACTCAAGGCTGTTGATAATTTAGTCATCTGAAACAGTTTATTCTAAACAGTGTCTCAAGGATGCAGTTCCTCCCTCTGAGGGGAGTGGTCTTTTGTTAGATTATGTAAATCAGGAAACTCATTCATTACCACTGCGTTTCTAATTCGTGCCTTAACCTGCAGAACCAGGAATTGCATGACTCTTTTCCTGCATACAGCAAACATGAGAAGCCACTGTTCCTGCGTTTGCTTTAGTTTCTGGGGGGAATTGAATGAAAGTAGATTCAAATCAGCAGGGGATTTGTTTGTCAAATTTTGCAAATCAGGCTGCAGAAAATGGAGTTTTACAAGCCCCATTCAGCAGTTCAAGATATCAGACTCGCTTCAGTTTTCAATATAACATTCATACCAACTCTTTCAATCTTAATTTTGATTGATTACTTACCAGCAGAAGTTTATACTGAAATCTTTCCTTTGTCCTCTTTATCCCTTGCTCACCTTTTCATTCTTTCCGTGTCAATTATTAACACTGTGACGTTACTTGTTACTGCAGTAACTTTGTTTCAATGCAGCTGTTGCCAGGTGAATTTTCTCGAGGGCTTGATTGTCACATCTACAAAGATTTTATGAGATAATAGAAAAGTTTTGTTTTGGACAGCAGTCTTCAACTTTACATTCTTAGGCAACTGGCCTGTGCTGTCCCTAAATGTTTTATTTGAAAAAAATTACAAAGGGAAATGCATTGTGCTTTGGCTCCAGTTTATGTATGGTAGGTTTTGTCAGCAAGGTAGGTACCAAGACATTGGTATATATTGGATTAAGTTCACTGGGACAGATTTGCTGTGGCCCTGGTGCAGAGGAGGTTCACAAGGAGCTCAACTGACAGAATGTGTTTGATTCATTTGTTAGTTCAGATCTTCTTAGGTCTGTTTTTCAGCTTGGAGGTGTTACTCCATTTAAGTGGTGAGTCTGTCAAAGCTATGTGTTACCAGTCTGTGACTGTTGCAAGACATGGGACCAAAGTCCAGGTGCTTTCAGCTGCCTGTCAGCATGCCAGTGGCCACGCAGTACACGCCCTCGCATGCTTTTCTGCTCTTAGAGGCTGGTGGTTAATGCTGCAGAGATACTCTTCCAGTTGTGACCATTTCACAGGCCTGAACTGACCATGCCAACTGCAGGATTTGGGCAGCACAGGCTCTTGCTGCATACATGCAGTTTGAAATTTTCCTACGGTATGTCTTGGCCAAGGTGAAACAACATTTACCATTGTTTTCTTCTTCAAGACTTCAAGTTCCTGCTTGCTTTGGGATAGTTTCTGCTATGGAAATCCATGCAGAACACCAGCTCTGAAAATTTCCCAATTCTATCCTAGATTTAGTTAGTATCTGTCTATGTTGGATAGAAACCTTTCTTCAGATCTCTCCCTAAGACAGAATAGCCCTGTACTGTCCATTGCTCCTCACTGGCACAGTCTAAATGTTAACTTTGCATTGGTAGGCTAAAGCAGAGTGAGACCAAAACTAAACCACTTTCCCCCTGTCCCCAATCCCCCCCCACCCCCTGCTGACTCATTCATGGATGACAAACAAAAGGCAAAGAGCCAAGTTTTGCCTTCTGGGGATAAACCCACTGTAATGGCCTGAAAGCACGGCAAGGGTAGAGAGAAGCAGCTGGAAAAATAAGGAGAGAATGAAAAGCAAATGAAAAGCCATTGCTTAAAGCCATTCCTTCTCTTTTCGTTTTCTCATCGTTTCTAGCGTTCTTCCAAAAGTAGAAAACTGCGAAGTAGGCTCAAGTACTCTGTTTCTTTCATAGTGTGTAGTGGATTCCTGTTAATAGATAGAATGATGTGTGTACAAGGATCCATGTCAATATTCTTTCTATAATGACATGTTTTTTTTCTTTCGAGTCTTAAGTGGAAACAGAGAAGTACATTGTTTTGCTTTATTTCAAAACAAAAAATAATGCATCCTGCAGTATATCTTTCTTAAAACATAGCTACCATGTATATTTTTACCCAGCCCTGTTATTGAAACTTTTTGGCCAGTTGATTTCTTCACATGTCCCTCAGAATGTTGGTAGCTCCTGTTAATTGCCCCAGTGCCTACTGATGAGCCCAGAACTGATTGTCAAGCTTCCTTACTTAAAGCTCAGAGAACAAGCTGCTTATGATGACCCAACAGAGACATAAGGGAGGTCTATGAAAGGGAAAGTATTCAACCAGCCTTAATCCTTGCTTTCAGTAAGGCAGTGTCTTTAAGTGCAGACTAATTAGTGAATAGACATGATTGTATATTCTTGTAGACATGTCTTTTGTTGGCTTGAGATGAACTGAGCAGCTAATAGAAATGGTTTAAAATCTCTGCTTTGCTTTTTTTTAATGCATTTAGTAGGGTATGGAGATGAGAAAGTATAAATCAAAGCAGGAGAAAAAGTAAGTACAAACTGTCTTACTTGGTATATTCCATTTAGATATTGTATCCATTTAGATACTAGGACTTACGCTTGTGAATCCCATGCCTGTGCTTCTTAAAGAACTATTCATTTTATAACCTTTGACGTATATCAATACTAGAAAAGTGTGTGGGGTTTTTTTACTGTTACAGTAATGTATTATGCAAGCATTACTTTGCATTTAAGTAGTATGTTAAAGTCATCAATCATAAAGTGATTGATCAAGATAAACATAGTTCCCCCATTTTAGCAGTAGAGAAACTTAATTCCAAGTAGTAAAGTGAATTTCCTTAAGAATTCATTATGCACCTGAGACTAGTATCTAACTCTCTAGAGGGATGGTCCCCCTCTTTAGTAATTTCTTTATTATATATTGTATAATAAAATTTCCCAACAGGTAGGAATAGCCATCTGCACATTCCAAAATATTTATGGTAAAATTGAATATAAGGAGAAGCATATTGGAAACCGAGTGAATGATGAATGACAACTAATCATAGTCACCTGAAAGAGAAAACATTTCTTAAAGATCAGCAAGACATAAAAAATAAAGAGGATTAAAAAAAATTATAAAAGTTGTGAGGTGTTTTTTTCTGGTTGTGTTTCCCCTATTATTTGCATATTGCATGACCTTGACACAATGCAGATAGGAAGGAGACGTAGCAACTTACTGTTCTACTCATTTTCTAAAATCAACCATAAATTCCAGTGATATTCAATAACAGTACCTTGGTTATTGAAACTCATAACTGCTGCCTTTATCACCTGTATTATCCATAGGAGATAATTACCGCAAAGCAGCTGGCTGTTGATTTTAGAGAGCATCAATTGTTCTCCTGTCCCAGCTGTTGGCTAATAAGGATAGTCAACACATCTGTTTCAGCAGCTGGTAATTAACAAAAGCCTAATTGCTGCAACTCTTTTAACAACAAATCTATGAAAGAGTAGGGATGTGGAGGAATATTATTTACTCTGTTCTCTGCACTTTCTGTGACCAGTTTCTTTTTTCTTTTTCTACTTTGAACACCACTGCCTTTGTCTGACACATTGAATGGCAGGACAACACAATATGGTAATCCAGAGCTTAAGTTTTTCAGATCTTTGTTGGTGTTTCTTATTGCAACATTTCTTGCTAAGTTGCAAGATAAAATGGATCAAAAGCATTTTGTGGAGTTTCATACAACAGCTACAATCCACAGCAGTATGCTTACGCAATAGGGCTGCCAATCCAGCAGCCTTCGAAAGAAAGGGGTGGGTTTCCCTGTTTGTGTATGAGTTTAATAGCCCTGCACCCCTTCCCCAAAAAAGTGTCATTATTCTAAAACTGGTGGTTATTTAAAGAATTTTCTTAATATTCTTCAGATGCTTTGCAAAATTTGTTGCACAGACATTTTTTTTCCTTCCCTCCAATGAAACCCCCGTATGTTGATCAATTTAAAAGTAAATGCCCTGCACAAATATCTCACCATTTTATCATTACAGAATTGGAGAGGGTTCTGCACAATGCTTGTCTAAATATCTACATTTATAGTATCAGTCAACAAACACAAATTCAAAGACGTTTCTCTTAGACTTATCCTTGGGTATAGCACACATATAATTGGAATACTCGTCACTAAATAGGGGGAATGCATGTATACAAATACAGGGAAATGTTAATCCCATTGAAGTCAACAGTGAACTTCTGTTGGCTTCAATGGATCAGGATTTTCCCTGCAAAACCAAATTTTCTTAAAAGCTGGAGACAAATTTGGCATTCATTGTGTTACCCATGAAAAGAAAGTATTCAAGCATTAATGGAACTGTTGGCTGAAGTATTGTGCAAGTCAGGCATGTATTACAGACTGTGTGAATGAATGAGTCAATAAAAATTTCTAAGAAATAGCATTTAAAGTGGTATTTTGAAGTGATAAACTGATGATGAAAATTGTGATTCTTTGCTAAAAGTTGGTCAAGATCACTTAATTGAACTTGTCTTACTAACATTTCAGTTGGCAAATATTTCTGTACACTGAGTTCTTAATTATCTACTGGGTATGTTGAAAAGTGTAAGAAATTCCGTCCAAGTGCTTGCCATTGACAGAATACAGATTGCATAATTAAAATATCCTGACAAGACAAGTTTAGTTCAACAGGTGTTCAAATGGAGAAATGTGTAATAGGTGCAGTGAAAAAAGTAGAAGATATGCTTTGAACAAATAATAACAAAAGCACTGGCTAAAATTCTAACTGTAAGACAGGGACATAGAGAAGTGTTTGCTGTCTGGGTTTATCAGGAAGATTTTTCATACACAACAATCTTTGTTGATCAAGATGATTTCTTTTGTCTTGCACAGGTAAGAAGAAAGAAATACACCTTTTGTATTAGATTACACTGTGGAAAATTGCTGGAGCATTTGATAGTTGACAAAAATGTTTATCTTTTCGTTGGATTATGTTATTTCATTTCACTAGTTATGATTTTTAAGAAAAGGACCATGGGTAACATATCACTGTTCTCATTCACTTCCCCTCCTCTTGAGACTACAACAATTATCAGATATGAAGGAATTAGCTTTTTTTCCCAGTTGAAATGGAGTTGAGTCTGAGTGAGTTGCAACAGAAATTTAGGCAAATAAGCACCAAAACATAGGTAGGAACTGGAAAGAATGCTTTTGCCCAGTGCAAGGTTCTAGTAGAATCAAATTGAACAATATGTGCAGCAGAGGGTAATATGATTACCTCATAAAAAAATTTAGTAAATAGATTTTTAGCAGAAAGGACCAGAAACTTCAGTATCAGAACATAGCTTTGATTTCTGAGTGAAGGCAACTCACCTATATCAACAGATCTCATCCAACAGTATAGCATCCGTAATAATCCATGGATGCATCCATCCCCTACTGATTCGATAGAAAGGTACCTTCTATCAGACAAATGGTTCCTATAAAGACTTAAATGTATGTTCTCATGAACGTCTGTATTTGCTTTTCTTACTTTAATTTTAAATCCTTACTCTGAGTTCTACTTGGGTGGAAAACATTGCAGTAAGACTGTGGAGAAAGAAGATACAGGGAGT